ACACCCAGAAAATGGGAGCTGACAATGGGAAAAGGGCTCTCCAGGCTGGAGCATCCTGGTTTTTTTATTCCAAGATAATCCTGCTTTTCCTACATCCCAGATTCCCAAACGCAACAATTCCAGTTCCTGAGGAAAAACTCATTCCATGGTTAATTAGAACAAACACTTCCAGACCGATTTTTCCAGCTTTTCTGACCGCAGGCACACACAAAATCCAAATAAAAAGGGAAAATGAGGATTTGTGGTGCAACAAATTTAAATCCTGCCCTTCATGTCCTTCCCAGGAAAAGGATTCTGGATTCTGGAGAGAAATTACATTTTCCTCAATATTCACCCAAAATTGAAAAACCTGACTTTAGGAATATTAAACAAGACATGACAGCACCGTGGTCAACTCCAAATCTGATTTATCCCAGTGTTTGGTTTTTTTATCATGTCAGCAATTTCCAGACTGAAATTTTTGTCTGCCCATCCAATTAAAAAAAAAAGAAAAAAAAAGGAAATTAAGATTAAAGAAAAAGCATTTGGCATTCTGGAAATGCTCCCGTGTTTTCCAGCAAAAGCTTCCATATTTTATTTTGGATATTTGAAGTGGCATCTTGGACAGCACTAATTTATAACGGGAGATTAAAGGGAAAAAACCTGATTTAGAGGGATGTTTCAGCTCTCTTATTCCAGGATTTTTCCTCGGAGCTGAAGCAGATGTTCCTGTTTCCTTAGACTGGGGTTGTTTTCTTTCCTTCTGGATCTGATATTTTGCTTCTTGGGTAAATATTTGTATTTTTTTTGATGCCAGGCTGAACAATCAGCATTTTTGGTTTTTAATGAGAAAGTGATTTAGCTCATTCTGTGATTTTTTTTCCTAAATAAAGTGCTCTGAAGTGAGGTGAAAGTGGCAATTCCAGCATTTTCTCCCAATTTCTCCCAGTAATTTCTTTCCCAGTTATCAAAATATTCCTTTAATTAAGTGGAGTGATCCTTGTGCTGCCGCTTGCTGAACATTTTGGGAAGTTTTTATCCAATTCCATCACTTCAAAGGCTGCAATTAACCAGGAGAACTTTGTTCAGTAACCCCTGCTCCCAAAATCCCAGCGCTTCCCGCAAGGAATTCTCATTTCCCAGGGATCAGCTCCGGGTCAGGGTCTCTGTGTGCCATCCCATATAAAAAAATCTGCCTCTTCTGGTCCAATTATTCCATGCTGAGGTTGCAGAGGGAATTGAAAAAGTGGGAATTTTGAAATATTGGGATGTAGGAGCGTGCCAGGGTGTTCCATGAGGAATCCCAACCTGGATCTGTCCAGCCTCACCAGGAAAATCCCAATTCTGGGGAATGACAGGGACTGAAAATGGAAAAAGCTGCCAGAGGATGGAATTCTGTGGGATATAGGGAAGGAATTCCTGGCTGGGAGTGGGGGGAGAGCTTGGAATAGAATTCCCAGAGCAGCTGTGGCTGCCCCTGGATCCCTGGAAGTGTCCAAGGCCAGGTTGGAGCAGTTTGGGATGGTGGAGATTTGAGGATTTTTAATTTCCCTTCCAACCCAAACCAGTTTGGAATTCTGGGATTTTCCAGACTGAGGCCTTGAGGAATAAAAGGACCATTTCAAACTAATCCAGGATATTTTTTCCACCTAAACTGGAGGATACTTGGAAAGAACAATGTCCCAACAACACCCAAATATTTTGTTCAGTGCTGCAAATATAAAAATATAACACAAAAATTCTCCGAGTCACAGGAACGACCCAACTTCTCCACAGGTTTTCCTATTTTATCATTAGGGTGTGTTTTCCTTGGACAAAAAAAATGCAGATTAAGAGGATGCACAACTCCCAGATCCCGAAATCCCCACCCAGCTCCCTGAATTCCCAAAAGAGCAACAGGAGAGGAGTTTCACAGCTCCCATTATTTGCCATTACTTTGCTGGAAAACTAAAGGACATTCTTGTATTCCTAGGGAAAAAAAACAAACAGCGGGATTTAATTCCTACATGGATTATTTGGGGAGAGTTTTCCCAACTTTTCCAGGATCACAAGACATGCAGAGAGACAAGAGGGATGGCATGAGTTGGTTTTCCTGCTGAGGGTTTGGAAGATCCTTGTCCACGCCTGTTGCAGTTTCCTGGGAATGGGCAGAGGAGGGAGCAGGGAAAGGGAAGCTCCAGCTCTTCCTCCATGGGCTCCCAGATCCCTTCCCCCAGAGCTGAGTCACTTGGATCATAAATTCCAACCTCACTTCCCAGTTACTATAACAACTTCATGGATTTCTTCTCTTTATTAATTACACTCAGCCCTAATCGGCTCTCCAGGATCAGGAACCCCAGGAGAGCTTCCCTTCTCCCTTCTCCCTTCCCTGTTTTCCCTTCTTCCTTCTCCTCCCTTCTCCCTTCTCCCTTCCAAAGGTTTTTCATTCCCAGCTCGCTCCCACATTCAGGTGCTTCCCTCATGGATCTGCTGCCACAGAGATAAGGAAATGCTGATATTCCTCCCTTTGAAAACTCAGAATAGAAGGAAATGGGTTTTTTCCTCAAAACAAACAAGCTGCCCGAAATAAAACTGCAAAATCTGGGCCCTCAGCTGTTTTCCCGCAGCAAATGTGGAGCAGGGAACAGCTTGGAATATAATCCACCCCAGCAGGGAGGGAATGAGCCCTCTGGGAGCAGAGCTGGGAGGCAGAGCCGGAGCAGCTGGAATGTGATTTATTGGGGCTGAGCTGCACATCCTCGGGTGTGAGAGGGAAACCTCTGCTGCTGGAAAAGGCAGCAAAGGGCGGCTCCAGGCCAGTCCCGAGGTGCTGCAGTGAGCACAGTGTGTCCCTGTTGTTTTCCTCTGGATCAGCTTTGGAGCTGGAGACCTGAAGGGACAGCTCTACCCCAGAGAACAGAGGGATTCCCTTTTCTTTCTTTTGATTTCCTTTCCCTTCCCCTTCCCTTCCCCTTTCCCATAGGATGGGATGGGGAAAATGGAAACATTTCCTCAGCCTGGAGAGCAGTGAAGGAGAACAGGGAAGGGGAACAGGGGAAGAGGGCATTTCCTGCTCCATTCCCACAGGGATCAAACAGCACTGACCCCATGGAATGACACAATTCCAGACTCCTTTGGGTTGGGAAGGACCTTCAATCCCATCCCATCCCACCCTGCCATGGCAGGGACAGCTGCCACTGTCCCAGGCTGCTCCAAACCCATCCAGCCTGGCCTTGGGCACTGCCAGGGATCCAGGGGCAGCCAAAGATCCTCTGGAAAGCCTCAACTTTCCCCTCAGTAAGGAATTTCTCCCCCTCACCAAATCCCTCCCACCTGAATTTCCTCGGCTTGGGAACAGCCTGTGCCTCCTCACAAATGACTGCAGGTCTCTGATGGAAGTTTTGGCAGATTCCCAGAGAATTTATAAATGAAAATTCCAATATCACTTGATCCATTTATTTTTAGGAATTTGTCTCCTGCTCTCTGAAAGAAAATAAAGTCCCACTTCAAATTCCAGCTCCAAAAGATGGAAACCACTGGGTGCAGAGCAGAACCTGGACTTCCCGCAGCTGGGATGGCTCTGGAATGAAGCATTCCTGCTCTCTTCTCCACTGAATTCCCCAGTTTTAGGCCTGGAATGCAGAACCAAACTCATCTGCAGGATCATTTTAAACCCCAGCCAGATGGAGAACACTCCTTTCCCCCTCCTCTGCAGGAAAAGGGAAGAGGATCTGAGCCCACAGAATTCCAGCTAGGAAAGAAGCCCTCTCCAGATATTTCAGACTTTAAAAAATCATGGAAATGACGATTTGATTCTATTTCCAGTGTGAAAACCCTCGCTGCTTTAGTCACCAAGTCACAGATAAACACAGGAGGAACATTTTTGTGCTGCCTCCAATTTTTTCCCGTCTCAAATGACAAATTTCCATGAATTTCATCCCTCTGATTAAAGAGCAGTTGTTACACACCTACAAATACCCTTTAAAAACCCATCAGTGCAAGCACAATTCCAAAAAAAAAATAAAAATTCATGGAATGTGGATCTGAAATTCAAACCCAAGCAGCTGCAGGATTCCCAGCATCAATCCAGGCTTGCACAATATCAAGAATAAAAACCAAAATAGCTTTGGTTTCCTGGAAAGTTAAAGAGAATCTGGTTTATCCGAGTAAAAAATGTAGGAATTGCTGTAGTGGGAAGCAAATGGGCAGCACCAAATTGGTGTTGGATCCGTGAGACAGCACAGGATGGACCAAAAAAAGGAATAATTCAACAACTCTGATGAGTAAAATGGGAAAAGGAATAGCCAGGAATATTCCAGGAATAGCCAAGAATATTCCAGCTTGATCATCCAGTGAATTATGGGAAGGGAAAAGGGAATTTTGGGGGATTGGCTGCCATTCCATGAGAGGATTTGGGGAGATTTCTCCTGCTTTTTCCTGTTTTGTAAACAATCAACCCCAAAAATGCCTCCTCCATTTCTCCAGCATAACCCACACCAGGAACACACCTGAAATCATGGAAAAAAATCCAATATTTCATCCAGGAAAACTCACTAAAGCTTCTTAAAAGTCAGGAAGAGTCTACTCAAAGGTAAATCATCATTTTTTAATCATAAGGCTTCTCTGGTTTTCCATGAGTCTAAATAAATCCCTTATCCTGCACTTAGGAATTTCCTCCTGAATTTTCCTACACAGTCCTGACTCGAGGAATTAATTACAATTATTTTACATGACAGGAGTCTTGCACTAAATGTATTTATGCTGAGAGTGGGTGATAGAAAAACAAGAAAAGATGAAAAAAAGTCTTTTTCTATTTCCTTTCAGTGCCTGTGGATTATTTTCCCCTTTTTTTAAAAAAAAAAAATAACTGGATTTCTGGGAATATGGCTTCAGAAGGAAATGAAAAATGAGGTGAAATAAATGTTTATAGTTCTTCTGCCTGACTTGATTTGAACACTGCCTTGTTCCTGCTTTTCTGGGAAAAAGGCATGGAAAAACTTCCATTTTTAATGGAATTGGTTCATCAGTGACCCACAAAAATCTCACGATGTTCCTGTGGCTCCTGCAGGAATAAGGAAAATGGAAAAGCAAGGGCCCAGTTCTCCCCCAGAACTGGACACACACCAATAACACATCAAACAATGCAAGAACAGGCAGAGATTTCATGGATTCTTTAGGAAAGTGCAGGGAAAGGGGATTGGAATAGGAATTTTGGAATGAATTCCAGAAAGGAAATGCAGAATTGAAAACTGAATGCAGAGGAATGGGAAAGGACGTCCCAACAATCCTTTTGGATGAATAATTTTGGCAGGGGGAGACACTTTTCCTGGAGTTTGCCATGAGGAGCCTCTTTTGGAATTGTCCAGACAAGAGCCTGCCATGGAATCCTTGTGATCAGCAGTTCACCCCATGGAACCCCAGCTCTGCTCCTCCTGCCCCAAAGCCACTCCTCTCTCCAAGGATTATGTGGGACAAGATCCCTGCTTTCCTCTGAGGATCCCAAAAGATCCACACAGAGTTTTCCAATGGGAAGAGCAGCACCTCAGGCAGGAGCTGGGAATCCAAGTCTCCAAGAACATCCCACATCCTGCTCTGCTTTTCCTGCCCTGCCCCTCATCGCTGAGATCCTGGAGGGGCCTCTCTCCAAGGATAATGTGGGACAAACTTCCTGCTCTTCCTAGGATCCCAAAAGATCCACACAGAGTTTTCCAGCGGGAAGAGCAGCACCTCAGGCAGGAGCAGTGCTGCGCTTCCAGGCTCTCCAAGAACATCCCACATCCTGCTCTGCTCCTGCCCAAGCTGGTGTTCCTGGGAACTCAACCCCCAGCAGCCATTCCCAGATGGAACACGGGGAATCCTGTGCTGCTCCAGGGACACTTTTCCAGTGTTAAATGGGATGGTTTTTCCTCCAGGGAGGAGTGGGCTGACCCCGGTACCAGCGGTCCTGGGGGATTCCTGGTCAGCATTCCCGAGCACGCGGTGCATCCCGAGGATCTGCTGTTCCTTGGGCACAATCCCATCACACAGAAACCCTGAGGGTTTCCAAGTATCTCACTCTGATCTCCTCCTCGAGAGCTCCAGCGCTGCTGGATCATTTCAGCTGCTGCTCTCAGGAACGCTGATCCCGAGGATTCATCCTTTTGGATTCCTCTCTTCCCCAGGTTCCTGCCCCCACTATTTATATTTATTCCTGCACCCTTGGAAGTGTCCCTGTTGTAAGGAGCTCCTCTCCAGATTTATCCCCCACATTTCCCGAGAGCTCTGGCAATCCCAGATTTTCTGTGCTGTTTATTCCAGCGGGATCCTGTCTGTGGCTTCCTCCAGCAATTGCTGAATTACAAAAGCATGAATGGGACAAAAATCAATGGCAAGAATTTATTTTTCCATCGGAGCACAGTCCTAATCCTTCCCCCAAAGCTCAGGAGGGATTTTTATCCCTCGGTGCCCATCCTGCAAGCTGCAAATATTCAACCCAGATCCATGGGAGTGACTCAGAAGCTGAGCTTTGTTTAGCAACAAGGTTAGGGAAGGTTCTCTTCCATCAAGGGAAATTTATCCCTTTTTCTCTTTACATTTCAGATTTTAAGCACCAAAGCTGATTCCTGCACATTGAAGAAAACTCCAATGAGTCTCTGGTTCCTTCTAAGCTCCAGGCAGTGCCTTTATTTGCCTCAGCTCCCAGAAGAAACACAATTCCTTGGATGTGCTCACAGAGGAGCCCAGGCAGAAACAGAACTGAAAATCCGCTGGTTATTTACTCCAGCAAAGGGTCAACTCCTTGTTTCCAGCTTCAGAACCACTGAAATAAAAGCACATCATCCCAAAAATCCCGAGGAGCAAATCCTCTGGCAGCTCCACTCAGCTCCCCTGTGCCACAAACACGCAGGGATGGTTGTTCCTACAGCAGGAACAGAATTCCCTTTGGATTTAGGAGAGCTGAGGTGAATTCTCTTGTTTACAACCCCCCCTGGCATCAGTTTATTCGCTGTTCCCTCTCTGCTGTGCTTCCCTGGCTCTCTGCAGTCTCCAAGGCTGGGTTGTTTCCTTGGATTTATTTTAGCTGACCTCCCTTTCCCCTCTCCTCTCTTCCTACACTTTCTCTTGTAGCACAGCGAGCTCTGCCCGTTGTTCCACAAGATCTGCCTTGAAACGGAGAAAAAAACCATCCTTTTATTGCCAACATTCCCTGTCCTACTTCCTGCAGGCCGGGAATGAGGATGAGGAAGGGAGCAGCACCCGGAGGAGCGTTTGGTGCCTTCATCGTGGTCCTGAGCTGCTCCCCAACACCTCCTGCACGGGAGGCAAAGCCCGTGCCAGGATCAGCAGCTGCTCCCACCAAATCTGCTGCCAAAATCAGGTCAAACGTGGGGAATTATCCCCCAGCAAATTAATTAGAGAGCAAACGAGGCTGAGTTAACTCTTGAACAGCTCAGAGGAACGTTCTCAACAGCTGTGTGCAAAGGAATATTCCAAATATTCCTCCAAAACCACCCATCGGAGCAGAGCTCAGCTCTCCCACAGAACACAAAACCCCTGGGAATTTAAAGAACAAAATTCATCATTTTTCTGGTGTCCAGCCCTGAAGGTACCAAGTTTTATAATTTTACCCCAAATAAGCAATTTTTTTCTCCAATTTTGCTCTATAAAATCTCTCACTCCATGCAGTATCTTTGCTCTACACTGTCCCAATTCCCAACCTATATTTTCAGCACTGCCAAGATTGTCCTTAACTTCTCCCAGGCCCTGGATCTGCCTTGGTTCCACTTCATCCCCATAGGTAAAAATATCCACAACCCTCTTTGCTAGGCTTCCAGAGAGGAGAGAAATTCAGGAGAGAAAATGGATGGAGGAAAGGAAAAAAATCCCAGAATCCACACACAAAACTCCACATGGACAGAGAGAAAAGGGAGAAACAAAGGTATATAAAAAAAGGGGAATTTTCTGACTTTTCCTCCCCTGAGTTATTTATAAACAAAGTGTATCCTTAAGTGGCCAAACATGAGGAAAAGCTGAACTCAGGGTGTACAAAATGACATTTTTTAAGTACCTGAATAAGCAGGGATTTAATCCAGCCTCATCCTCTAATCTATTTTCTCATCACTGCCAGCAGTGCCAGATGCTGCAGCAGAAAGTGCAGGAATTCCACGGGAGGCAAACATGGAATAATCTGCTCTCCCAGGAAGTTCCCTCAGCTCTCAGACTGGTCTAAAACACAAAGGATAAACCATTTTATCTTTATTGTTCTCTAAAAATTGCCTTTTTTTCCCTTTGTAAAATTTCTCCTGTGATTGACAGGAATTATTTTGGTAAGTTTTGTGTTTCAAGAACACTCTGGCAAATGGGTCCTCCGTCTAATTAGACATCTAATAAAAAATGAAGTTAAAAATTAAACTCCAAGGCTTGGATTTTTCAATTTTGCTGCATAACCAAGAGAAAAGTTCTTCATTTATTTTCTCTGTGCCATTCATCAAGCTCTTTCTAAGATTTTAACCTGAATAATGGCAATGTCCTTGAATTATTTGGGATAGGAAGGGCTCACAGATGAATGGAACACTCAGGGAAGCACAGCCTGGCTTTCCCTGCATGTTTTAGCAGCAACAGGATGGTAACAATTTGTTCTTTTTTTTGGTAAAAACCAGCTTGAAGCTGAGAGCTCTTTTCAGAATTACAGAAATTCTGCTGAAATTCACCTACCCCAGCTCAAGCATTGCCCTGCATCGCCTGAAACCAAAATTCTGCTGCAGCAAGGAGCCCAAAGTGAGGCTGACAAATTATTTTCATTCTTAAAACTGGGGGAAAAAGGGAAAAAAAAACCCAGAGCATGAGTAATAGCATCAGGTTAAAATCCTTCTCCTTCAAAGCAATATTTCATATAAATATCCACTCATTTGTTTGCAACAGGCATCAAGTTTAAGGGAGTTTTTTCACCTCATTATTTGTCCTACACCTTCACTTTTTTTTTTCCCATCTGCCAAGTCTGTATTTATCCCACTCCCGTAATTATCCAATTTTATTTGCAGAGGGAACCATATAAAGCTTGAAAACTGGAAAAGACAGGCACTTAATTTAAAGAAATAAAGGTGTTTCCAAGCACTGCTTTGTCACTATTTTTCCCAAATGTTTAAAATTTCCCACATTTCCCTATGGACAGCTCCAAGTGGATCATTCCAAGGAAAGGATGTTTTGGTAAACCAAATCATTCCAATTAAAAACTGCCATTTTAGGCAGGATTTTCCAGCTCTATCCATGGCTATCCATTTCAAATATGGAAATTCCATGGATTTGATTGGAATGACTTTTTAAAGGAGCCTTGTGTTCCCAGAGACGATTACTCAGCTAATCTGGGTTAAGCTCCCTGATGGATAAATCAGGATTTGAATGCTGAATAAGGAGAGGTTTCCATGTGACGTGGGAAGAGCTGGGAAGTAAATACAGAAGTGGTGGAGAAAAAACCTGAATATGTTTTTGGAAAAAACAGCCAAAAAGGTTTAATATCATCCTTTGTTTCAGCTTCACATTAAAGCACTGCACTAAAATTTATTTCCTGGAATCTAAAATGTCCAAATCCAAGAATAAAGTAGGATACAGCTGTTCCTGGAGCACCTGAGCAGGCACAAGGAGACATTAAAATAGATGAGATGACAAGAGAAACGGAGAATTCCAGTGAATAATCTGCCAGGAAAAGCACTTGTTGTGCTAACAAGCTTTTATTCCAGATGACTTATAGATCACAGATTTCTTCATAACCTCTTTAACCATCGGTTCCCTCTCCAGAGCTGATAATGAGGGACACTACAAACGAGCATCTCGCTCATGGTGGCCTAAAAAAGTTCCCTGTTCCCCTAGATTTATGACCTGCAAATGCAATTATTCAGTTTATTCACTGCTGCTTCTTATGGATACCAGGATTCCAGAGGAAAAAAATAAAAGGTATTTTATGGATTCTGCTGGAAAGAGTCTCACACAGGAGAGATCTACCGGGAATTCTCTCTTTAGTGGAGGATCTCTTGGGATGTTTCCTGTAGCAACAGATGCTGAGCATCACACAAAACAACTCAGTGC